TGGTTAAAAAAAAATATATATATATATGTATGTATAAATATATATACGTATAAATATATATATGTATGTATAAATATATTTATCTGTATGTATAAATATATATATGTATAAATTTTGTTTAAATGCAAATAAAATGCATAGAAAAATTGAACCACAGTAAGGAGCAATGACTAACATAAAGACAGGCTAGTCAGAAAACAGCCCAAGCCCACAACTTAAAAATGTATCTATGTTTAAGGAGTAAGTGAAAGTAAGTGAAAAGGCTAGATCTTTTGAAAAGCCAAAGTGAAAAAAATCTAAGTCAGCATCATCACAATGCATTTATATAATGATATGATGACAAACTATATATCATTCTAGACATAATATAGTTGTTATGTATTGAATTCCCTGCCTTGCTAATCTATAGCAGGAGCTACCCACTTAGAAACAACAGATCAAAGTATCTAACCATTGAAGGGAACAAGTCTTAGATTTCCAACTCCCAGACTCAATGACAAACCAGTTAAGTAGTTGTCACATCAGCATATATTTTTACCTCTATAACTTAGTAACCAGATCAGAAGAGACTTAGCTAAAGACTTTACTCCCCAAGACTGTTCTGACCTATAACTAATTTCCCCAAATTGTCTGCTCTGTAAATCAAAAGAAAAAAAAAAAAAACAAGGAAAAATCAAAGAAAAATAGTTAAGGAGAATTGCTTTTTTGAAAAAAATAATTTTGGAACAGTTAAGTCATATAAAAGAATTATAATACTTTAGATACGGAGCATCTAGGGTTTTTGTACTTAAATAGAGAGATTATTTTCAGGAAAACAGTTCTCCATCTTCATTGGGAAAAGTTAAACAAATTACTTGGAGTTCTTATAAGACATTACAATGCATTAACAAGCTGCTGATGTCTGCAGTAATCATTGAGGAAATACACTGCTGTCAAATCATCAGAAGTAGAAGATTATCTGAAGATATAGTGAAATCTTCTTTAGTGCTTATTTCCAGAGAAGTTCCATGTAAAACAGTATCCAGAAAGAGAAAGCAGGCATAAACTTTCCTTAAAAGCACTATGTTCCTAGAATCCTCAGTTATTGGGGGAAAAAAAATTGATTTTTATGACTATTCTGAAGTAATGATCAGGATGAATTTTATTTTTTTTAAAAAAACACAAATATAACATTAATCTGAGTTCAACCACTCACTATTCTGAAAAAGAAAATATTAACCAAAATAGAAACAAAATATCTCAAACTAAAATTTCAGAAGCTTTCAGTTTTTATTCTACCTCTAAAGTACTGAGAGATTATGCCCAAGCATAATCTTGTTTTAAGGTTCTCTATTGTAATGGTTTGGATTTTCCAAGGTACATTTCCACCCACAGTCTATGAGACTGACCCCTCAACCCCTTTTAGTGTGCAGCATAACACAGTAGTTAAGCATACAGACCCTATAACCCAATTAAATGGGTTCAAATATTTATTCTATAAATTCATAACTTTGTATTTATGAAGATTAAGAAGAACTGAACAAAATGTTTATTTAGCTTTTCAGTTCAGGACTTCATTCTGTTCCATTTGGCAGCTTAATTATCTGAAATTTTCTCAGATATTTTGATGTCTCATAAGAAATTCTTGGTAAAAAATGATAACTTTTCATAGAAAAAAATGCTGACAGTAAAATAAAGAATTATATTCTCACCCAATTCCTATAAAAAGATGTAAACTCGCCATAAGGTGCAAATTTTCATGAAAAACTCTTAAGATACAAGAACAAAGACTTGAGAAAACAATTGTTTCTCCCATGTTAATTTTCTTTAGGAATACAGTTTGGAAGGAATATTTATTTCTTCCTCTTGTCAAAATTGTTTGTGAAGTTAATACTGCAACTCCCCCAATACCATTGAAAGATTCCCTGAAGGATCATCAACCTACTGGGCATTGAAGACAAATCAACTAATTACTTCTAACAAATCTATTGTAACTATTGTTTTTACCAACTTTTCTTTAGTATGAAAACAAAAGTATTATAGGTTGATCATTTTTTAAAAACAGAAAAATGGAAAAATGTGTATGGCATTGGGATTTCTGGTGCAACTGACTGGCCACTTAAATTTGACTCTGAGAAATAGAAAGTATATCTTACTATGAATGAATATTTTTGATAAATAAACAGACATATTATTCATCTTTGTGACTAATATTCCCATAGCATTTGATTACTTTACACCTAGATTCTGAGATTTTAGCTGCTAGTGATGGTGTAGTAGTTTCTTTCAAACCAATTCACCCATACCCTTTATTAAAGAGACTGTCCTTTTCCCGCAATCTATTCTTAGCATCTTTTTGGATAGCAATTGATCATAACTATGTGGATTTATTTTAGGGCTTCTAATATGTCCCACTGGTGACTATTAATTTTATATTGGCATCATGCTGTATGAAAATATGTAACTTTACTTGTGTAGGAAAATTCAATCCAGTAAGGCAGTTCAGTTTTCCTGAATTAATGTATAAAGATGATTCAATTCCAAACTGAATCATAATTTTACTAGAAAATTCTAATTAATTAGAAAGAAAAATTGGTTTAAAAATATTTAAATTTTCAGTCTATAACAGCTGGGACCCATGGCTCATTCTCCCCCTACTCATATTTGGACCTCAGGTTTGTGTCTTGGGACTTTAAGACAAACTTGCTCCCCTCCCCACTCAATCTGGGGAACAGTTCAAGTGGCCTTGCTGGACACCAGGCTGCCTGTGGCTTTAAGCCCTAACAGCCAGGACCCGTGGTTCATCCCCCACCTCCACTTGCCTTTGGACTCTCAGAACTCCTGTCGCATGCTGCAGGAAGTTTTATTTGCTGCTGAGGTGAATCTCATTAGTTCTGTTGGAGGTTTATCACTCTTTAGAAACAGGGAGAACTTTTGGTCACCCAGGACCTGTGACAACAGTGTAGGATATTGCTGAGCAACAGGGAGGTAGACCAGAAGAGAGATCGCCAATTTTCTACTCCTGCACACCTTTGAACACTTGAAGTTACCTTGAATAAGTTAGGAAGAATAGCCCACCAGGCAACTAGGAACGATTGTAAAGGCACAAGAAACAAGAGCAACTGACAAAATGTCTCTCTGCCAAGGAAAAACGTCAATCCCACATCACCCACAGAAAACACAATGGATGTCATGGACATGTCGGATAAGTGATTCAGAATATTTGCAGTGACCAAACTAACTGAGATGCAAAGGAAAAAAAGACAATGAGCTCCAGGAGATGAGGAAATCCTTTCAGGATTTGAAAAAAGAAATAGACGCCTTATAAAAGAATAAGATGGAACTGTTAGGGATAAAGAATGTGATAGAGGAAATTAAACCTTCCTCAAAAGTATTAAAAGTTGATTAGATCATCATGCAGAAGACTGAATCTTGAATGTAGAAGACAAAAACTCAGAACTAGAAAAAATATCAAGAAGACTGAGAAAACAACCAAGAAAAATGAGGATAATATACGAGGAATAGTGGATACCATCAAGTGCCCCAACATCTGGTATGCCAGACGAGGAAGAAAATAATAAGGGTATCGATAATTTACTTCATGAAATCCTGGAAGAAAACTTTACAAACCTAGAAAGGCATTCAAATATCCAGACCCAAGAAATACATAGGACCCCAAATATAAACAAC